ACCAGCCCCCTCCCTCCCCCCGAACACCCGCGGGGGACGTGCAGCCCCGGCCCTGCCCCCGGGGAAGGCAGGAGGAGCACAGGAAGGTCTAGCAAAGTGTTAGTTAGCAGAGGCTGTTAGTTCGGGTAAGCAACGCGCAGGGGCCGCATGAGGGTGTTGTTGACAGCACTCTGATGGTCACAGCAGGTGTCTTATTGCCATCGACCTCTTACAAAACAGCATCAGGAGGAGCTGGAGCTGCCGTAGCAGCCAGTGCAGGTACAAACATTGCGGCTGCACCACGTCCACAACAGGGCAAGGGAGTTGGTTCCATCTGGAGCCGGATATTGCTGGGAGAGAAGACTTAGATTTGTGCACACTACAGGAGCAGGAACAGCTGTCTGAGACAGGACAGCACTGAGTCCCAGACACCAGGTCTGAGGGGACCCGTCTCTGTCCGGAGGTCCGTGCAGGATTGTCCCTGGTGACGCTGTCTGTCCAACCAGTCTCAAGAGCTGCAGACACCAGATTTATTGTCTTAGGTGAGGAAGTTTGGAGCAGGCAGCGTCCTGGCAGATGACGCAGGGTGATTGTGGAGCTATCCCATCAACCTCTCTTCCCTAGGAATTACCAGGGTCCTTTATTTAAAATCCAAGCGAGGCTACAGAGTCTCAAGTCACAGTGGTGTTCCCAGCCAGGACTGGCTGTCACGTCACTCAGACTCACAAGGAGACGATCCAAAGGACTGTGCAAGGCTTCTCCTTCCAGGATTCCCTCTGCCACGCGCAACAGAAAACCAGAGGAAAGTAGTGGGAATGCTTACTGGCCCTGGGAGCCAGCAGGATCCAGCTGGTTCAGCTCAGACTGATCCAGCAGTTCAAAGTCATCCCCCTCAGCATCAGTGTCCAAGTCCGAGCTGGCTGCTCTGAGGCGAGTCTTTGCAGCCCTCTGGGGGTTGGTGGTGCGCGAGGAGCCTGGCTGAGGGGCTCCCGACAATGCCAGCTGGATCATGCCCCTGGTGACAAAGCCGGCGATGTTGCTGGTGAGGTTCTGCACGGAGGGCAGCGCCTCAGGCTTCTCGGGGTCGTACGGGAGATGCAGGTCCTCCAGCCCCTGCGGGCGGAACGCCAGGCTCGGGATCCCAATGCTGGTGTCATCTTCGTCATCTATGCACGTTGCTTCTGGGTTGATGGAAGGGAAGTCAGGGAGATCCCTGGCAAAAGATTCTTCTGGGTCACTGTGACCATCCAGGTCTGGAAAAGGAGAAAGGGCTTTAAACACCAGCACCTGCCCAGCACCACAGGCCAGGGCGGGAGCTGGGCCAGCACCTCCCCAGGGCAGGCTGTCGGCATCTGACAGACCACACAGTCCTCAGCCTCCCCCTCACCCCCATCCCAGCCATTCGGATCCCACTGACCAGCTCACTCACAAGGAATGCCAGTCACCTGCCAGAGGGGAGCACTTGCACCCCACAGCCAGACTGGCAGAGCTGGATCTGGTTTGCAGAGCAGCTGCTGTTGCTTTACTCAAGCACCACAGGAATGAAGGAGGAAGCTCAGTTCTGAACAGAACAGGCAGTTGCAGCTCACATTCAGCAGCCAGGCAGACATCAAACAGCCACACCTCAGGGACAGGAGGCAACACATCCTCCGTCCGACCAGTCACACCGGCGCCTGCTCAGCATTCCACACCCTCCAGAAACTGCCCAGTTCCTCTCACCTTCTGATCCCTCTGTCAGGGGAGTCTGCCCCCTCGAAAGGTTAAACATTCCATTCTCAGTGTAGGAAACTTCAGCATCCGAATGCTCCGAGTCAGAGATGGTCAGTTCCTTGGCAACCACAGAGTCATCCAGCTTTGGAATACAAGATGAAATTGAAAACATTAGCACTGGAAAGCTTATCCCTGTGCCTCAAGACAAAACAGACCATCCAGTGGCACAGTTACACTCAGCCCTCATGAGAGGCCACTGAGGCTCATACACCACCCAGCCCAGCCCAGGAGTCCACAGCTCATATGAGACAGAATGGAAATGATCTCCTAGAAAGGAGGATCCTCATCTGCTCTTCCACCACACTTAACGACGCCGTGCTGACATGCAGCCAGGTGTCTCAGATGGTTTGTGTCCAGCTGAGCTCCCTTACCTTGGGGCAGAATGCAGCCAGCTCCTCTTCACTGTCGCTCCCATCATCCGTGGCCTCCTGACCCGGGGTCCGGCCATGCACTGCCAGAAACCAGAGCCAAAGCTGCCACTGCTGCTGGTACAGGGCTCTGAGCAGGACCAGAAAACCCCAGACTGGACAGAGCACAGCAGACCCAGCTCTGCTCCACAGCAGAGATAACTCCTGACTGCACTTGCTGCAGGTTTTTTGCCAAGATGAACATGTTTAGCACAACCTTGCACTGAGCCCTTCCTCCTTTTTCAGTGCAACCACCATATGGAACACACAGTTCTGGCAGTCGAGAACTGGAGCAGCTCAGCACTATGAAGAGCTTATAGCAGCTGCTCCCTGGGAGACGGTCGTGGAGGCAGCGCTGCCTCTCTCCCTTCCTGAGGCAGTTCCAAGGATTTGCCATGCCAACATGCAGCCCCACCCCCTGCCAAGGCCGAGGGCTCAGCTCACAGCCCATCCCAGGGCAAGGATCAGGGTCTGAGGGGTCAGAAATGGTGCAGAACTTACGCTGCCTGTCACGCTGCCTGGCTGCCATGTATCCCGGGACGCGGAAATCCAGGCGCTGCAGCACCGGCTCCAGCCACAGGTACATGCGCTGCCCCAGCCGGTGGTACATGGCCAGGGGCCACAGCAGGATGAACAGCACTGGGGTGAGTGGGAACGCTGGTTAGAAGGGTGTTCAGGATGCTGCTGGGCAAACATCCTGCCCGTTCTGTGGTGCAGCACAGCACACAGAGCGCGGCAGATGTGAGCACTGAGGCTGGGGGAGCTGGTGCCAATTTAACAGGACTGAGAGACCAACCTGTTAGTGCTCAGATCTGTGGTTACTAAGCACTCAAACATGTTCTCTCCAGACCAGACTTCGAGTCCTGGTCAAGAAAGCCACATTCCAGACAGAATGTGTTTTTTCGTTTTGATCAGAGCAGCCCCATCCCTCAGACACTCGGATCTCTCATCTCTTTTCACATGTAAGTTGGTACTGGCACAGAGATCTACTTACACAGCAAGTATGAGAGCAAGAGCCCAGGGATGTACTGGCCCAGGACAGCCAGGAAAGTGAAGACTCCACACACTAGAAGGCAAAACTGAAGACATGGAAGACAGTGAGTTTCCAAGGCTAAGCAGTGGATTTGCTCAGTTCTTGACCATCTTGGTCTCTCCAGATTCTGGGTCAAGTTGTCATTCTAAAAACCAGTGAAGCCTTCCCAGTGTCAAAGTGTCTCTCCAGGAGAGACACAGACACAGGAATATCTGCCCTCGGAGTCAGAGACAGCCCAGGCCTCCTGCTTAAGAGCATAGGGAGCTTCCCAAAGCACATACCAAAAGCATGGAAGAGGCTTAAGAAGAGAGAAGAGGACAAGGACAGAACACTGTGCTACAAGTTCCTCTTTGCATAAGCTCAATAAAAAGAAGAAAAAAGCTTGACACACTTTCTCCAACTGTTGAAACCCAGTGAGGGAGACAAGTTTGACATGCACTTACAAAGCCAGAAAGCCACAGAAGGAGCAGCCATGTTCTCACTGCAGTGGTGCAATCCACACGCCAACAGTCGTTTTCTCCTCCCTCCCCCACAGCCTGATTATTCTGCCTGTGCTTCCCATTCCTCCCCAGCACTCAACAGCCACAGTGCTGTGGGAACCTCCCACAGAACCTCCCATGCCTGAACGTGTTCCCCAGCACTGGGTGCCAGTGCAGGACACTCGTGGTCAGCAGAGGCTCCACACCACACGGGTTATTTGCTGAGGTCTGTGCATTCTTACCTTGCCAGGGCTTTGCCTCTTGAAAACGAAGAGATTGCTTAGGAAGCTGGTCCCAGCCACCCATCCTTCAGCCAAGTGGTGACACAGCTCTGGCACCCCGAGCAGCCGAGGGTGAACATATCCCCAGCTGCAGAGAAGGCAAAATTTGGGAACAGGTATTACTGCATCAGTGCATAAGCCCCTTGATACAAACACTTGTCTCAATGCCTCTTTCTCTTCTTCCCCAGCAGGAGCTCTAGAGATGAGGGCCACCTGCCCTCAAGCACTGTCCTGCCCAAAGCAGCTCCTCTACAGCCATGCCACCAGCACCCAGGCCCTCCCACAGCAGCTAAGGAGCAGTAATTTCAGTCGTTGGCCTGGACTGGTTTCCATGCTGCTGGAAGAACTGAGCAGTGCAGAGGCAAATCAAGTGAATCCATTTACTATTTCTGCATTTATTTGCTCAGCTGCAGCCTCCCAGAGTTCAGCATGAGGTCTAGAAGCAGTCCCTGCTCCTCACTTCATATATTAGTTGCTTCGGAGGCCTTGTCTTTGGTGAGTTCTATTAGTGCTTCTTAACTGCTAGTCATGAGTACCTGAAGCTTAGGAAGAGCAATTCCTTTTGTGCTTGGGCCTCTTAAAATTAATAAAGAAAGCTGTGCTTTGGCAGCAGCTCAGGTGATTTCATCGTGAGCTGACAGCCAGCACAGCCTGGCAGGGAGGTGTGCCTGGAGAGGCAGGAAAGGCAACACCCCAACACTTCCCAACCCATCATTAATGCTGCAGTCAGATCCCAACTATGCAGAAACAACTGCTGGAACAAGCTTGTTAAACATTCCCTATCAAGTCTCAGAAGACTTCATTAATTCCCACAGAAATGCTGTTTTCCTGCTGCTGGAGGCCCACACAAAGGGAATTCCTTCTGAGGCAGCTTCTAACTTCAGGGGGAAGGGGCAGGGGATCAAGCAAGCATCACTGGAGGCAAAGATGAAGTAAACCAGAATGGCTTGGGCAAGCTGAAAACTTGTCACAACCACCTGACAGCATCCAGGGCTCCATCCTCCCTCCACTGAGCAGCTCCCTGCTCCCTTCTCCCCCTCACCCAAAGGAGCCAACATCCCAAGCATGTGCAGTAACACAGCATCATAGCAAAGTACCACAGCACAGGAGTCAATTAGTTTCCTACCTCTCATTGTCTAATTCATCAGGTCTTGCCACTAAAATATTAAGAACAGACACTACATTAGTTGCAAGGAATTTGCCATGGGAATGTTTAGCTCTTGGTATTTAAGTAAAGCTTTAATGAGCTGGGCAATACCTGGAAAAGACATTAGCTGTAATTACAGGATGGAGCTTCATCACGCCACAGCATGTGTTGTGTGTGTGTACGGTGACAGCACAGACCTGCAGGAGCCTCCGTGTTTGCTGGACACTGCAGGCTGCTCTGGGCCAAACAGCACCTCACTCTCCCCTCCCTGCACACACCAGCTGGGGAGCAGGGACAGCCTGCAGGCATCAGGGATCTTACGCTTTGGATCCTTTGTCACCCAGGCTGGGACTGGAGAAGTGACCCAGCTGTCCCAGGATCAAGCCAGGGTGACGAGGGAGCAGCACAGACACTGCCTCACTAGGAGCCTGAGCCAAGCTGCTGCCAGAAACCAAGGAAAGCTTTAATGTCTTCCCAGGAGCTGCAGAGAACGTGGGATGAAGCAGGGAGCTAACTCAATGGTTAGTCAGGGAACCAGCCCTGGGGGCATGCAGACCCTCACTCTGCTCCAAACCAACTCTCCATGCAAGGCCAAGCACCCTGAGCTGTTCGGAGTGGGGAGCCCACCAGGGCATCAGTGTGACAAAGGAGAGACCCAACTGCTCTCTGCACTGAAAGCTTAAGGCTAACTCCACAAACAGCCCTTCAGATGCCTCTTCTTCCAAGGAATCTCTGCTCAGCAGTGAGGCTAGAACTCACCTGCCCTCAAACCTGGATTAGTGTGGATTCTGAGGGGAAATCCAGACCAGTTCCACTCACACTAATCCCTTGCTCTGGTGCAGAGTGCTCAGAACATGACTCAGTGCCCCACGTCTGCACTAGGTCATGTAACTCTGTGTGCAGGACTGAGACAAATGCAGTGTCACAAGCACAAAAAGGTCTGTGTTTACACAGCTCAGAGCTTTCCAGCTCCAGGAAGAACATGCCTGCAGTATTACTGCCAACTTCCAGACCTTCCAAAGACCCAGGATTTACCCACCTAACTGCAGGCAGTACAGAGCCTGCACTTGTGGGGCTGCACACGGAGGTTGAGTTGCTTCTACCAGCAAAAATGCTACAACTTACCTCCAATTTCCGGCCAGATTTTGTGTTTCCACTGATCGAGACACACCACGATTAGGAGCGTGATAGCAACCAGGAACAGCAAACGAAGGGAGGTCAAAGCAAAGAACCTGTGGGGCAGAAAGGAACGATCGGTACCAGCCAGAGCCGTGTGAGATGCCAAGGGCAACACAGGCCGACCCAAACGCGGGGGGAAGCTCAGCAGCGCTCCTCGCGGGGAGCCGCTGTG